CGTCTGCCACCCCAGACGTCCACCCGGCCACCCCAGACGTCTGGGGTGGCCGGGTGGGAACGGGGGCCGTCGGCTTTTCCGCCGGCTGCTCTCCTCGATGCACGGCCGCTGCCGGCGCGCCGAGGCGCCCAAGCGACAGCTACGTGTGCAGCTGCTTCGCGGACCCCCGTGTGCCATCTCCCCTCCGCCTACTCAGATCCTCGTCGTCCACAGGCAGGCGTTCGTATCCTCGACTGCCCGAGTCATCAAGCCAGCTGTAATGGGGGCCCGTCCCTAATCGAAGGGCGCGGTGAGCAGAGGCCTCTGGCAGGGGAGGGAAGGGTCGGCGACTACACAGGGTGTGGTTATTACGCCGGAGTTTGGTTTGCCATCGGCGCCGTTGGGGGCACGACACTGTCCTCGTCGGGCCGCCTCGGGGCGCGGCGGAGAGCTCCGTCGAGGACCTCGCCCGCCCCCTCGGGGTGCCTCTCAGGGTGCCTGCTGCAAGCCGCACCACTTGCGAACCCCACCCTTCGGAGCCGCCGAGAGGGGCGCGGTGAGCAGAGGCCCCTGGCAGGGGAGGGGATGGGCCGGGACCGCTGGGCGCGCCGCCGCCAGGGCAAGGGGAGGACGGGTCGGGGGCAGTCCGGGGGCGGGGTGGCCCAGCGGTGCGCCCCTCGTCGTCTCGGGAGGGGGAAGGAGACACGGGCGTCAAGGAGCTTCGATGCCCGAGGCAATGATGTGGGGAACCACGGGACGTGAAGGGGAAGACGAGCACCCAGGAAAGATGCGATAATGGGCGGGCTTCGGGGATTTGTGCGCACTTGCCTGTGTGTCGCTGGACCCCTGCATCGTCCTCGTCGTCCTCCTTGCGTCCTCCCTCCTGCCCTTTTCCTGCCCTTCTCGGCGTCCTTCTCTCCCTCCTGCGCTTCTCCTGCCCTTCTCCTGCCCTTCTTCCTCCTGCCCTCCTCCTGCCCTTGTCCCTCCTGCCCTTCTCCTGTCCTCCTCCTCCTCCTCCTTCTCCTCCTCCTCCTCCTCCTACTAGGCGGCTCGGCAGCGCGGCAGCCCCCTGCCCGCCGACCCGAGCCCCCAGCGCGGCCATGATGCTGCTCGCTGCGCCGCCGTGGAGTGGGCCCCTCGACGGGGGGAGGACCCTCACGGCCGCGAGCCGCAGCCGGTGCCGCGCGGACAGGAGACTCCGCTTGGCCACCCGCCGCCAGGCAGAGGTGGACGCCTGGGGCTGGTGGGGCATCCCGTGGGAAGGAGCCTACGAGGAGGGCCCGTGGCAGCCCCACGAAGACGAACAGCGGAGCGAGCGAGAGGAGACCAGCCCTTGTGAGAAGTGGGAGGAGAAGATAGAGCCCAACACGACCAGCTACAGTGAAGCGATCAGGGCGTGCGAGGAGGGAACGATGAAGTTGAAAGCAACAGTGGCGGAGGCAAAACTGGAACCCAATTTCACTAGAGTATTCCCCTCGTCGCTCCTCGTCGCCACGGTTGGTTCAGAGAAAACAGGAAGTAGTTCGGTTGCGGAGGCGAAGGTGAAGCCAAACGTGACCAGCTACAGTGCAGAGATTCCTTGTGAGAAGTGGGCGGCGAAGACCGAGCCCAACGTGGAGCCAAGTTTCCTCCTCCTCCTCCGTGAAACGAGCGCGTGCGAGAAAGGCGCAATGGGGAAGGCGAAGCTAGAGCCAGACGTCATCGAAAGCATCAGCACTCAGAGCAACGCGTGCGAGAAGGGAGTGCAGGAGCGGCAGTCTCTACCGACACGTGGCGAGAAGTGTGAGAAATGCGAGCATGGTGTAAGGGCAGAGGCGAAGCCGAATCCAAACGTCATCAGCTACACCATCAAGAAAGGTGCTTGCGAAACGGCCAGTTTAGACGGGCAGTGGCAGCCTCAAGAAGGAACGGACTGTGCGTGCGAGAATGGCGAGCAGTGGCAGCTTCAAGAGGATGGTGTCGGTGCGCGCGAGAAGAATGAGCAGTGGCAGCCTCTAGTGGGAGCGAACAGTTCGTGCGAGAAGGACGGACAGTGGCAGCTACAAGAGGGAGCGGCCAGTCCGTGCGAGAAGGACGGGCAGTGGCAGCTACGAGAGGCTGTCGGTGCGCACGAGAAGGACGGGCAGTGGCAGCTTCAGGACGGCGCAGGCTGTACGTGCGAGAAAGACGGGCAGTGGCAGGTGCGAGAAGCTGGCGGTGAAGCGGAGCCCACACGTGCCCAGCTACAGTTCCTCGTAGCCATGGCTGGGTCTGGATCTCAGCCTCCAGCGGACGGACCGCGGATGGACGGCACCAGCAGGGCCATGTGGATGGCCCGAGAAGTGATCGCATCAACGTGGCTGGCAGGAGGCAAAAGCCATGGCAACAGCACGTGCGAGAAGCGGGAGGCGACGGTCGAGCCCGATGCGATCAGCTACAGCACTGGGATCAGGGCATGCGAGAGCGCTGGAGCCCAATGGGAAGCGAAGGATGTCCTCGGCGAGTGGGGCCCCCTCCCAAAGGAAGACCAGCAGAAGCTCGAGACCCGATACCAGAAGAACAGCATCACACCTAGCAGGAAGTTCAGCCCCTTCACCCTGCTTGGCTCAGACGGCAGGCCCACGTGGCCTCTCAGACCAGACTTCGCGAGTATGGTTCTGAAGAGCACGCAGGGCAAGAGACGCATCCCGATAAGGCGCGTGCGAGAAGAGGGCGAGAGTGAAGCGGCAGCCCAACGTGCCCAGCTACAGTGCTGAGATCGGGCCGCCGTGAGAGAATGCGAGAAATGCGTGCAGAAGTTGCGAGGAGGACCTGCACCGCCTCGCGAGGCGGAGCCAGGGAGGAGACTGCAGCGCCCTGCTCCAGACCCTCGCGAGCCTCCCTCGGGTGAGCCCCGCCACGTCCCCCTGTAGGCGGGGGCCGAGGGAGGGGGGGGGGGTGCAGCGCTGCAGGGCAGCGCTGAGCCGCGCGCGCGCGCCGAGCGCGCGCCCGCGCGGTCGTGCCACGGCGTGGCGGCCTGAAAGAGCTCGGAAAGAGCTCCTCCTCCTCCTACTGCTCTTCGGCGTTCTCCTCGTGCACTTCTCGGCCTCGGTGGCAGCCCCCCCCCCAGGGCCGCTGCTGCGGCGCCCTTGTGCCAGAGGGATCAGGGCAGGGGCACGAACAAGGGTGTTCGAGTGATTTCGACATGCGCGCGCGAGAGGCCCGCTTGGGCGCGTTTGATGGAATTGTTGAACAACTGATTGCTTCCTCATGGATTCGTAGGAGCGCACAGTTAATCCATATATATAATATGCACATATGTGTAGATATTGTAGGTACCGCTTTGTAAATACAGTTCGTTTGTATGAGTAGGTGTTCGGGAACGCCGACCTTTAACATAATACAACATTCACGGTTTTATGTGTTTCCGGCATGCGCGCGCGACGACGCGCGCGTGTGGATGTTGTTTCATTTGTTGCAAGCGGTTTTTGCAATGGCTGATTCTTGGAAAAAGCGCGTGCGAACATTGTATTATCTGACAGGGATGAGGGGGGTGAATGGGGTGGATGATGGCCTGCTTGGGATGGTCTGAGTTCATATTTCAAATGAATTCACCGTATTGTGTATTACCTCAGAGGGAACCAGTAAACATGCGGGGGGGGAGGGTGGTAGATCTTCATATTTTGATGAAGGATCATTTGGGTTGTGCGGTCTAGAGCGGCGACAGGTCGGCGACGAGGCGGCGATGCCGACCACGGAACCGCCAGACCGGCACCCAGGCCAAGACGGCGGGCGGTGACGAGGCGAAGACGGGGCGGCGACGGCGACCACGCAGCCGCCAGACCAGGGCCCGTGCCCGTCCGACGGGCGGCGACGAACTGGCGACGGGGAGGCGACAGCGACCACGGAGCCGCCAGACCAGAACCCAGGCCCAAACAACGGGGGGTCACGAGGCGGCGACGTGGCGGCGACTGTGACGACAGAACCGCCATACCCCGGCATCCAGGCTCAGTTCTCGTAGACAGCGAACCTTTAGGTACAATCATTTTTGGGATCTCTATTTCTCCTTTTTTAAAAAATAAAATGTAATACATGCATATACGTGTTATATATATATATACATATATATATATATATGACGATACTTGTACACACATGTATAGAAACTTATGAAAGTGTACATCTATGAATATGTGTCTTCGTGATTTACCGCGCAGAGGACCCACAAGCAATTGGACCCACGGGGTCTTGGACTTGCAGGCCAATGCTACCAGTCGATGGGGAAGGTCTCTTTTTTGGGCGCACCAGCATGCATGTGGTTGGGGCGCAGCAGCATCCATTCGTCTTGCGGTTGTGAGTCAGGATGTTGTGCGGCGCTCGGGGAAATACGTTTTAGCCTGTAGCCTGTCCTTCGGCGTACCAGAATTGTCTGCCGAGTTTCATAGCATCGGCGCCGCATCCTCCGTCCACCTCTCAGCACGTGGTCGGGGCGCCGGTATAGGTAGGTAGAGAGCCTCTCTGCGGCCAGAAGCATACAGCGAAGTTGGACCGCAGCTTCTTGGCGGCTCGTTGCTCCGTGGGTGTTCTCCTGAGGCGAATTCTCCGCCTCCTCCTCCTCCTCCTCCTCGTCCTCCTCCTCCTCCTCCTCCCTCCTCCTCCCCCTCCCCCCAGGGCTCGCCGCCGACTGGCTCCTCCCGCGCGCGAGCGGCGCAGTTCCGCCAACCCCTCGCCCGAGCCCCGGGACGGGAAGCGGCACACACGTCGGGTCCGCAGTCATCCCGGCTCAAGGTCATCCTCGGCTTCCTCGGGGGCGGCAAAGAGGGGGGTGATGACTAAGGGGGTGGATATCATGGCGGGGGCCATGATATTTCCCAAGATTTCATGGCGCCCCTTCTTACTTCATCACGTCCCTGGTCCCCCCGCTGGGCCGCGCACGTGCCCCCGATCATGATTTCCCCCCCCCCCCCTCTTGGACACCCCCCTCTGGGCCGCTCCCGATTTCCGAGAAGCTTCAACGGTGGCAGCTTGTGCACACGGTCAGGCCGCCGTCTTTCCCGCGATGTTGGACCTCGTCACCCTCTTCGCTTCCGTCGGCCTCCAGGACTCTACCGGCATACAGCATATCCCAGTCCATCGGGGCTCAAGAGACGGGGGTCAACGCAAACGGGGCTCAGCCAGGGCACCGGATCCTGCAGGATCCTGCGAAGACCCCCTCTAGCTGACCCGGGTTCGCGAGCCGCTCGTGGCCGCGAGGCGGCCGCGCATATTGGCTGACCCGGGTTTGCGAAGACCTGCGTTGCAGTTTTGTTGTTCTGCATTGCAGTTGTTTGGTTTCCTGCTGTTTTTGTTTGTTTCCTGCTGACCCGGGTCTGGATTGACCCGGGTCAGAAGATCCCCGAGTCCATGAGATCGGGATTGCATTGTCCAGGTGCCAATATTTAATGGGGCGTCGAGGAGGGTGGTGGTGAGTGCTAGAGGACGATTGGTGTGTCTGTGTGTGTGTGTGTGTGTGTGTTTGTGTATGTGTGTGTGTGTGTGTGGATATCATGTCCCCTTTTCCGTTTAACGCATCTTCCGCCCCCCCTCCCTTTTCCCCCATCGTCCGCGCACATGCCGCGGGTGATAATGCGCTAACCCCCTCTTCTTGACCCTCTTCTTCGGAACACCGGGTTAAGGACTCTCTCAGCTTATGAGGGTGCATCCCTAAGGTTGTCACCGCCTTGAGCTTGTCAGTCTTAGTGGTAGGGATGAGCCCGAGGCTGGTTAGGAGGAGCTGGGCGCCGCCGCTGCCGCCGCCGAAGTCACCACCATCGCCGTCGCCGCTGCCGTCACCGTCGTCGTCGCTCCCGCCGCCCCTGGCGCGAGGAGCGCGCCAGGGGTTGCGCCGTATCCAGCGTCGACCCAAGAGATCCGCTCGGTGCTCCCAAAGTTTATGTTTTTACAGCTCCGTCTTCAAAGAAGGAGCAGGGGGAGGAGGAGGAGGACGACGACGAGGCGGAGGAGGAGGAGGAGGAGGAGGACGAGGAAGAGGATGAGGAGGAGGAGGAGAAGGAGGTGGGGGAGTAATAGAGGGAGGAGGAGGAGGAGGAGGAGGAGGAGGAGGAGGAGGAGGAGGAGGATAATGAGGAGGAGAGAGGAGAGGAAAAACGAAGGGAGGGGGAGTAGGTAGTAGTAGTAGTAGTAGTAGTAGTAGTAGTAGTCGTAGTAGTCGTAAGTAGTAGTAGTAGTAGTATTAGTAGTAGTAGTAGTAGTAGTAGTAGTAGTAGTAGTAGTAGTAGCGTAGTAGTAGTAGTAGTAGTAGTAGTAGTAGTAGTAGTAGTAGTAGTAGTAGTAGTAGTAGTAGTAGTAGTAGTAGTAGTAGTAGTAGTAGTAGTAGTAGTAGTAGTAGTAGTAGTAGTAGTGTAGTAGTAGTAGTAGTAGTAGTAGGTAGTAGTAGTAGTAGTAGTAGTAGTGTAGTGTCGTAGTAGTAGTAGTAGTGGTAGTAGTAGTAGTAGTAGTCGGAGTAGTAGTAGTAGTAGTAGGAGGAGGAGGAGGAGGAGGAGGAGGAGGAGGAAGAGGAGGAAGAGGAGGAAGAGGAGGAGGAGGAGGAGGAGGAGGAGGAACCCCTGTGTCTGAATGCGCGGTGTTCACCCCAGATGTCGGGCTTTTGTGCCGTTTCGTTGCCCCCTGCTGCCAGGAGGAGCTGGCCGAGGGCCGCAAGAAGGCCCCCGTGATCACAGACGCCGAGGCCGACACGAGTCTCGTCGAGGACGCCGCGCAGCAGATCTCTGCCGCGCTCGAGTCAGTGGAGGGCGCCATCTCTTCCGCCGTCGGGGCTGTGTTCGGACCCTGGAGAAAAAGAAACCGAGGACCATGAAGACTGAACGAGGAGACGTCGACGCCGATCTTGGTCATCATTCGCCTTGGCCACCGATTCCTGGAACATCCTCGCGAGTCGGCGACGGCTGGTAGTCGGCGCAGCCCCCCTCCACCACCTTCCCCCCCTAGACCAGATCTTTGCTGGATCTTTGCTGCTTTTGGCGGCTGCTTTAGGCTGGCATCGCTCGGACGTGTGTCTTTTTTCTTGACGGGGACCCCTTGAGGAGCATCCTTGATCATTTGGCGAAAAAGCCACGCACGAAACCGAAAAAAGCACGGGGAATGGACGCCCGAGCGATGGCCAGTTTGGCTACTGGTCAGGACCCCCTCGTCCGTCTGCTCACGCGGCTCGCAGAGGCAGATCGACGAAGCACCGGCCCAGACCCAGACACCCCCTCCCCCACCCTTCGCCTTGGCATCGCTCGGACGTGTGCATTTTTCCTTCGGAGCATCCTTGAGGAACATCCTTGATCATTTGGCGAACAAACCACGCACGAAACCGAAAAAACACAGGGAATGGACGTCCGAGCGATGGCCCGCCGGCCAACATATCGAGACTCAGAATCAAGAAACGCATAGTACCTGGCATGGACCATGACCGAGATCTCCGCCGACAAGATCCCGCGACGTTTCGCTCGCGCTCAGCGTGCCTTCCTCCCTCGAGGCCCCGGCGAGCCAGCGCAGGCGCCGTGCAAGAAGGCGTGAGGCCCGGCGCCCACCGCCATCGGGGGCGCCATCTTTTACCGCCCAGGCCCTGGGCGATGAGCACGGGCGTGCCCCCCAGACTCGGGTCGGGCGAAAGGGGGGGATTGGGAAATGGGGGGTTACGAAATTTGCTGCATGCAGCTGATTTCGGCCTCACCGAGGGGCCCATTCCTCGATACATGGCCGCCTCCAGCGCCGGGAGGCGACGGGAAAATCAGCTACGTGAGCTGATTCTCAAACCCCCCCTTTGCTATCCCCCCCTTTCGCCCGACCCGACAGACCCCCGCGAGCCACAACAAAAATCACGACACGAGGTTTAGAGCCATTTTCAGCCTGGGGGGGCCCTTACCGGGCCTCGGGACGGTCGAAGAACGACTCGGGATGGAGCACCAGTCCTCGGCAAGGGGTCGATCTCTTGGGGTCGACGCTACGACAAGAAGTAAGTCGGGCTTGTCCCTCTACAGGAGGAATTTTCAGAAATAGTCAAACAATAGTCTGGCGCCGACTTTCCTATTATTTTGGATTGTTTTGCGGCATTTTGGGGCTATTTTGCATTCTTCGCCCAAAATCCGCCTGTAGGGGGACATGCCCGACCTAAGACAAGAATCGTGACGTCGGGGGTCTGGGTCGACAGGTTCGCGGTAGGCGCCGCAGCGCGCGTCGGCGCGAGGCGCCTCAGGCGGGCGAGTGGGCGGGGGAGGCGGGCAGTCGCCAGGCAGGAGAGGGGGCCCAGAGGGGGCCTGCAGCTGTTTGTGGCCTCCCTGGCGTCTCCACGGGGCTGTCAGACAGCGACTCTGGATGGAAAGCTGGTCCCGGGCTTCCCCGGACCCGTTCCCTCAGGACCCGTTCCTCCCACGCCAGGGCAGGGCGCGTCGCGCTTCGCCGCTACGCCTCGGGGTCCTCCTCCTCTCGTCGGGGGCAACGATAGGGGGGCATAGGCATAAAGGGGGATGCATCGACCCCCAATCCCCCATGCATCGCCGACATGGGCCCGACAGCCCCAACCTGCCAAGGAAGGTGCGGACTCACGATCGGGGGCCTGTCGCCGATCTATCGGCGATGTATCGCCGATTCCAGGTCGATGTATCCCCCCCTATGCCAGTCCCCCCCTATCGTTGCCCCCAATTTCCTCGCGACAGAGAAGCGAAGGACGAGCAGGAGGAGAGCCTGCTGCAGTCTGTTCCGCGTTCCCGACTGCGTTGGCCACTGGCCACCCTCTGCCTGCGGAGGCGAGGGGTGCGCCACAAGTCGTGTGTCGTCTCGCGAGCTCTGGGAGAAAAAAGCGAGCAAGAACAGCCAGTGGGCAAGAGAGCGACCGCGCAGTCAGCGCTGCCAGTTAGAAGCTGCGCTCCTTGCATGTGACCCCGCTCGTGACATGGCCCAGTCCGTCGTATGTTGGAGCGTACAACTTAGCTCAGACATGCGGGAGCGCCTCGAGACGTCGGCAGTTGGCTCGAAGAGGTCCCCATCAGTTTTCGCTTAATAGTTTTAATGCTTATTTTGTCGTGGTGCAGGCAGGCAAAACACACATGGACGGATTGGGCCTTTTTTGCCACTCCACGAGCGTGGACATAGGTCAGGCCTTCGAGGGGTCTCCTCCTACAACAGGGAAGAGTAAGTTGCACGAGCTTGGCAGCTTGGCTCCTCTGGCAGCGTACTTGCTTGATCCTTCTGCACCGTACGTGTCCTTTCGAGCTTACGGACCCAGGCAGACAGACAGTGCCGCTCGCTGACAGCGTTCAATCCGACACGGCTATAGGAAGGGCTGCTTTTGGGTGAGTGCTTACACTCCCGCCTCCAAGAGGCCTCCAAGAGGAATCCCAATAGACTCCAACAGGCTCCAAAGATAATATTTGTTCCCCAATGCAGGCACGATGGCGGGATGAGCCGCACTAGATCCGCCGCCCACTTTGCATTATAGAGCGTGTTTGGCGTGCCAAATCTTCGGGCTCCCTTGGGCCCTTCTGGAAGGATCCCAGAGGTCTCCAGCTCAACCCGCCAGCCAACCGGAAGACCCGCGCGGGAGTAGGAGTAGGATTTCGAGTCGGAGTAGGAGTAGGAGTAGGAGTCAAGCTAGCCAGCTCGAGCGAGTCAAGCATGGCATGCCCAGTCCCACCCGCCCTCCCACAACATAAGAAGCAAAGCTGGCACAACTGGGGGCCGAAGTCACACCGGCCAGCCGGTTTGGTACAGCTGATGCGGCCGCGATGGCGGTTGCCGACGGGAACTGGCGAGCGCGTGTTGAATGCCGCGCACGCATTGCCAGACGAGTCGAGAATGGCCCGGTACACCGCAGGAAGCCAGAGGTGGCCGGAGGAAGCCCGACGGTCTGACAGGACACCCCAAAGCATTTTTGTGAAAAAGCATTGGGTTTTTGATGTTTTTATGTTGAAATGCTTGCAAACACACGGTGTTCGGTAGGATTCTGACATGAACGCGCGAGTGTGCTCTTTGTGGTATTTTTTGCACAGGATTCGCGGCCTGGGTGCATGACAGAGCA